GGCCCAGAAGGCCTGGCCTGCAGGCCCCGCGACGCTCGGCCCGCTGAGGCCCGCTCCGTCCCCGCGGGAGGGGCGGGCGCGCTCCGCCCGCGTCGCTTCCCGAAAGGAGGGTCGCCTCGGGGACGGCTTAGTTCCGTCGGCTGCCCGTCCCAGGACTCGGTCCGGGCAGATTTTGTTGCCTCGCCCGGCCCCGTTTCGCCTCACGTGTGCCCTGAAGAAGAGCTCTGGAGAAATCAGCTGTTCGTGAATGTTGACAATACCTAATACTAGCAGGAGTTTGGGGGGGGTTAATTGCTAGTATCGCCGCCTTTATTTTTTAAAAAAAGGCGGGGTCAACTTCGGCACCTGAAAGGTGAACGCGCGGGCCCCAGAAGCTGATGAGGCCGGAAGCCCCATTAGTTTGCCGTCAACTTCAGTCAGTCATAAACTGAATTAAGAAGCTTCCCTCCCACCACCCCTTTCTCTAACTACTAATTTCAAAAACCTCCTAGTGTTTGATAAAGCACTAAGGTATTTATTGAAAGCGGCTAAAATGAAAATGACAGAGAAAATGTCATAGACTGCATGGCTTGAAAAAAAGGGTTTAATGCTACTTGCAAGGTTAGAATTCAATGCAAAGACAGAAGAAAGGGGTCTTCCGGTTTGAGAAGAATCTGGCTTCGGTCTTTAGAAGCACTTCCTGTGTACAATCGAAGGGCCGGCTTCATCGTATTCTGGTTTGCTTATCCACATCTGTTGGAAGGTGGAGAGAGAGGCCAGGATGGAACCTCCAATCCAAACAGAATATTTGCGCTCAGGAGGCGCGATGATCTGTCGAAAGATTTTTAGAAGAGGGTTACGAGCGGAACACGGATCTCACACCTCAGAGGGAGAGAAACCCAGAGCCGAGATGCAAAAGAACAACTGTCCTGCAAAAGGGTGAGCTGAAGTCTTCGGGGCATGAGTCACATGTGAAAAGGAGTCCAAGAAAGAAAGGCGGAATGGCTTTTGGACTGGATTCTATTCTTCCATCTTTAGCCTAGTTTAATTTATAGATTTTACCTGGAAATGGCATCCCTGAGATCAGTTTGCTAGTCAGCTGATAGTGCAATCAGGATTAAGCAAGGACAAACAGCTCTAACCTGAACAACGATAAAGCCCACCAACCTACACAGGAAGTTTGGTATATGTACATTACACTATGTTTATCCAATGTTTATAGTTTAAGACACTGCATTTGATTTTTTCTAAATATGCAGAATCCCAAAGTCCACATCAATGAGTCATAAATTCAACAGAGTTGGAACTATCATCTGTTCACAGGAACAGGAAATTATCCCGTATCTTTATGGATTATCTCCTGCCGTAGCTGCCATTGGTTACCCCAAGTACAGGAAACTGATTTTTGTTCTCTAAGGTTGCACACATCATACGGACTGCTAGTGTGCCAAACCCGAAAGAAGACAGGACAGACTTGCCTTTATCTTCATTGTGCTGGGAGCCAAGGCAGTGATTTCCTTCTGCATTCTGTCTGCAATGCCAGGATACATGGTGGTGCCTCCCGAAAGAACATTGTTGGCATAGAGATCCTTGCGGATGTCAATGTCACACTTCATGATGGAATTGTATGTTGTCTCATGAATGCCAGCTGATTCCATGCCTGGGGGGAGAGAGCAAGATCACGGGGACATCATTCCAGTTCCAGTGAGGATTCAGAATTGATTTAGACCTCCATGTTTAGCCTCAAGGATGGTTTTGCATCAGCAGTTCACCTTGGTTTACCACTGACTGCCCCAAATAATACTATGGGGTACAATTTCTTCTGCAGAATATCTTTGAAAAAGATTCATGCCCCCTTCTCTTTCCAGCAGTAGTGCTCAAGTAGTAATGTGCAACACATGTAAAAAAGGGCAGGACTTTGATTGCACCACTGTGGGTGCCATCTTGACTTTTTTGACCACCTCCCTCATGTACAACAGGAAAACAAAAGGAGCTGCTACTTGCCTTCAGGATTTGTTATTGCTAAGTGGAGTACAATGGCTAGTTTTGCTGAAAACGTGACTTTAGCTTTTTCTACATCTCTGCAACGGAGTTTATTCCCTTCCGAGGGTCCCCTTCCACTCATCCTTTATCCAGAAAGACGTGCTTTGTCAGCGATGCCAGGCCCCTCGAGCAGACCCTTTGCAGCAGAGACTCACCAATGAAAGAGGGCTGGAAGAGGGTTTCCGGGCAACGGAAGCGCTCGTTGCCGATGGTGATGACCTGTCCATCAGGCAGCTCGTAGCTCTTCTCCAGGGAGGAGGAAGAAGCTGCTGTTGCCATCTCGTTCTCAAAATCCAGGGCGACATAGCACAACTTCTCCTTGATGTCCCGCACAATTTCTCTTTCAGCTGTGGAAGACACAGTCCGGTTGAACCTGCAGCAGCCCCCAGCGGGGCACTAAACACGCACGTGTCATGCAATGTACGGACAGAGACACGCTGCTCAGAGCTCATGGCTGGGCTGCGGATGTACCCTGCGCTAAGCTGTGGTCTGTCAGAGAAGCCACAGTCTTGAACTAGCTTGCTGCAACCACAGGTGTGATACGTAAAACATAAAACCAGCAGTGGAACGTTTCATGTGCTGCGCTGGGGAGAACCGGGTTTGGGTCCTTTCTCAGCACTGGGAGGCCCCGGGGGACTTGGGGCCAGTTGTTCTCTCTCCACCCAGTGCATTGCACGGGGCTGTTGTGAACGCAGGTTCCCGTGCACACCACCCTGATCCTGAAGGAAGGGTGGGACAGAAATCTAAAAAACCAGTACAGTATTTTAAAAGCCTAAGTGATTAAATGTAACTAGAATTGTGACAATCTTGAATGTCTGTTTAGGGTTACAACATTAATGTGACTAAAAGTGTCGAGCTAGCACTACAGCTCCAACGTAACCTAATCTAAAAGGTCTCAACAAATTTCGTGACCATTTTAAAAGGCAACAGAAGAAAAATGGCTGCTTGAGCACACATCCATCAGCAAAACAAACCGTTTTGTTGCACCTCCAAGCCCGTGAAGGTGTCAATCATCTGACCCGGTATTTTTCTTCTAAAAGGACATGTTGTTCAATACCTGTTCTAGAATAACCTCCAAGGGCCGTTACTCTAGAATAAGGTTACAGCTTAGTGGGTGTCTGAAACTAGCCAATGAGCCCCCAAGTGAACCTGGGCGAAGGAGAAGTATGGTTTGGAGCGGGGATTTCCCAGTGGAATCTTAACTCAATGGGAAGACACTTGCCTTCCCCAAGCAGTAGAATGACTTGGGCCAGCCCTGAATGGAAAAACAAGCGGGGGCTGACCTCCAGGCAGGGGTTCTCCAGGCGGCCTGAGGCTTTCCATCCTCTCTTCTCAGGAAACGCAACAGCCACCGGCAGCTTAACCAGCATCCTACCGCTGGGAAGCTCAAAGGAGGAGGCAGCGGAGGGAGAGTGCTGGAAGAGCTTCTTGGCTTTGGCTACCCTCTGGAATTCATTTCCGGGCTGCAGTCCTTTCACTCGTCATCTTAGGAAAGGAGGTGCCCTTCTAGGTTTCGGCTGAATGAAACCGGGCGCCAGCAGACTGCTTGACCCAAAGCAGAAGGGAAGCTGCCGATCTGGTTTGTGCAAGCATCAGGTACAGCAGACTAACAACTAACAAGTTCAACTAACGAGCACGTTCGGCTCTCTGATCAAGCTCTGAGGCCTATCGTGTCCACCAGACCCCAAGCTGTTTCAAGTTTGGGTGCAGAGTAAATCCAAACCTGGCCAACTGGCAACAAGCATAATGGTAGCAGGTCTGTGTGCTCTTTCACCAACTTTTTTCTCTTAGGCAGATGCAGGGTTAAGGATCGCCATTTACCCCAGTGATGTCCTAGAAAGAGTAGCTTTTGGGGGAAACTGTACTTGCTGATCTTTACTGTACCCACAAAGTTCCTTGCATGGAAGTCATGATAAAGACTTATAAAATGGGCTCACCTACATGGAGATGACATGTCATAAAATCACCACATCAGACCACAAACCCAACCTCCCTGCTCCGAGCAGGAATCCAAATTACTGTAAAGCATTCCCAACAGGCAGCTGCACGGCTTCCACCTGAACACTTCCAATGAAGGGGAGGACATCATCTCTCTGGGTCAATCTGCTTTACTGTTTGGAGACCCGAATCTATCTTCTGGTAAATTAAATCCATTGTCTGGTGTCCTGCTTTCTGGAACAAGACAGTACGAGTCTCGAGCTTCTTCTGTGCGACACCCTTCCAGTAGCCTGAAGAGAGCCATCGCACCTCTCTCCCTCAACTGTCCTTTCTCAGGACTAAACATACCCAGCTCCTTGCATC